AAGCTCTTGACTTCTTTCAGAAATTTGTTCAGCAAAAAAAGGGGAGCAGATTTGGGATCAGTATTAAAAAACGCATCTAGTGGAATACATATTGTCTTCAATCGCCAAACTAAGCTTGCGTCTTTTTCTTGTCAGAACTGACAAAGCATTGACAAGAGGTTTTCCAAATATTAAATGAAGCGAAGAAAAACTATAAAATATAGCTCCGACGGTGAAAACGATGCTTAGAGTCTCTAGATAATGATTCATAAAATTCTACAGAGCGAAAGGACCCGCAGTGGAATGGGACCTAATAGATGAATTTTTTAAGAATGCATCATGTCAGACTGACAAGCGAGAAGGTGAGAAACACAAAGAACAAGTCGACGAACCATAAACCTGACTAACATGATGAAACGGGCTAAGCATGCGCCATCAAGTTTGAACGCGAATGAACCCGTCAATATAGGTAGAAAGTCCGTAAAAATGCGAAAATGAGAGAGCCAAAGCCATTATAAAGCCAGCAAACAAGCGTATGGCAAACGAAAATGTAAAAAACTAACCTAATCTTTTCCTTTTCGGACGTGGCGATTTGAGCGTTGTTTCCACACTTGCGGGTGAGAATGTTGAGCGCCTTTTCGGTTTCATCTGTAAAGGACCTCATTTAGCAACAGATTACCATTTTTGCCAGAGTTTTATCGTTGAATTTCGTTAAAATTGGCCTAAACAATGGGGAAAACGATGGGGAAAGAGCGGAGCGCGGCGTGACTGCAGTGCCAGTCGGCCTCGGGGACGCTGCAACGCGGCACATACACACACCACAGCGAAACTATCGATCGATTCGCACCATTCAGTCGGATGAATGAATGAATAGTGCACAAATAGCGCAGATTTATCCGGGACCCTTTCCACTTCATCACTCACCTCCCCGATATGTTTCGTCTCCATTTCAGCTCAAAATTCAGCATCATCAATGCCTGTTTTAGCGGTAGTCTTCGAGCAACGAACTTTTATTAAAGGACGCCTGCGTTTTCATTCTCCTTTAAAATGTTTCGTCGCAGGACTGAAATCGCACAAATTTGCGCCCTTTTCAAAATCGTAATTTCAGCTGATTTTTCGCACTTTGCTAATTTCCCTTCTCTTGGTATTTTTGACCGTTCATTTCGGCATATTCGGTAATTATTGCGCCATTTAGCCCTTCTGTCGGCCCTTACGGGCTTGCTATGTTCTTGCGCAACATAACCGCGTTCAGTCTTCTGCATTGTGCTTATCGTTTATGTCTTTTTTCAAAGCCATTAGGCTCTGAACGTAGTGATTATTTCTTTCAATGTTGCTACATGTTACAACCAACCAGTTTCGTTTACCAAAAACACATCGTATTGTTTTGCTTCGGAGAAGTACGTCACAGCCTTTTCCATTTCTTTCTCTCTTTTTTTTGTTTCTCCCCATGAATTGTTCATGTTCTACACACAGCACACCTTTTCTTTCCTTTTTTTCTGTTTTGTATTACCAAAGCTGCCTTTCGCTTTCTAACACGTTCCAATCCTTTTGATATCTAGTTTACTTTAGGTACATCCTTGCACCCCTCATCGATATCTCCTCGGTTTCTATAGCCTTGTGTCTGTAATGTCGCCTTCCAAGCCCTTAAATCACTTTATATTTTCTTACTTTCTCCTAAAAACATGTCTTTAGAGATCTTCGGATTTGGTCATCTTGCCATGATGTGTCTGAATCAGCAAAGTTGTCTCGACTAAAATACGCCATATTAAACACGCATTTTTTATTTGTTTTTTAAAAATATTGTTCATCAAATGTTAGCTTTAAAAATTCAAATTCCGCAACTTTATCGATTTCCGCCATCCTTCCGTTTTACTTTTCTTTGATGCATTCCTATGACGACTTCCAGTCTGTTCTCATGGAATATAGAAAATTGTATTTATTGATTTCAAAACGAAAAAACCGCGGGTCCGTATTTTTGACATCTCACCATCGTGGACTGATTGAGATCTTTCATTTTCATCTATGCCATGGTCATTCTTTTTATATTTTCTGCTGTATAGCGATACGAATCAAGTATCAATCTGTAGTGATTGTAATGTAGGATTTTTCTACTCGCTCTTCTTCAAATAGTCGTACATGGTGCATATCCTTGAAAATATGAAGGCTTAGGATCAACTAATGCATCTTCTCATCATGAGCTTTCTGGTTGAATGTCTTCATAATTTTCTTGCTTGATTAATTCTTAACAGTGAGAAAATATATCCTCGAAATTTAGATGGAGGTTGTTGAACGAATGAAAGGCAAGCGTGTTGTCAAACCCATTGTATATGGCAACACTGCCACTCCTTTTGGTTATAAGAGGGAGTCGGATCAGCACACACATCAATGGACCGTGTTTTTGAAAATGTTTAATGACGACGATCCGTCAGATTTCATTCGCAAGGTGCAGTTCAAGCTTCATGACAGTTACGCTGTCAATACAAGAGGTAAACAATCATCAGCATGGTAATGGTTACTAGGGGAAGCAACGATTTCTAAGTTAAATCTCTCTTTATCTTCTTAGAGATTTTTAAGTGCATTTTGCTTGCTTCCGCTTCCATATAATCCCATGTTGACATAGTTTTAGCGAGATAGAAAATTTTTGTTTATTTGTGAGTTTTTCAATAACAGATAAGCAACCAATAACAATCATTTAATATTTCCAAAAGTATTTATATATCAAAATGTCATTCAGTCTGCGATAAGCCCCCTTATGAAGTCACTGAGACTGGTTGGGGTGAATTCGAGGTGCAGATGCGAA